TGACTGCTAATGCCAACTAGTACAATCCAAGCATCGAAGAGGTCTGACGTTATGTGCGAAGTGTGGAAGTCTCACCTAAAGTTCTAAAACGACATTAATCAAACTCTGAACAGAAAGAAAGTCTAGCATCATCTAAGACGAATTGAAGTGAAAAAGTTCAAGATTGCCTCATTACTCCAATCCAGTCGAATATCGTATTTTCCATGGTCAACAACCAAAGCGTTTACTCATCGAAATTGTCTGCAATGTGGCCCTCCTAGGAAATATTTATCAAAATTCATTTCGAGTTCCAACATTTCAGCCTGTCGCAGACATAAATCACCCAGAATGGCCAGACGCATATTAACAGATCCCTTAAACCTATTTAGCGCAGAAAATTGCCTGAGATCTTACTAGATTCGGTTTGTTTATTGCTATTATTCTTGTTGTTGGGTTTGAAGCCACGTTTTAACACAAGATAGGCTGCAAATGGCGACCAGTATATTTGGTGGAGAAGAAACCCGGCAAATGCCGAAAGGGACCACAGACAAACAATAGTCTACTAGTAAGCTTTCTTACATATCAGGCTGGCCGATCCTGAGACTCGAAAACACGAGGACAGAGGTGAGATGTCGCTAATCTATAAAGGAGAATGTCTTAGATCACTTTACGATTTGAAACCATCAGTAGTTACAGTATTGTTGTACAACGAGCATACAGGTGATGGCAAAGACGACAAACAACATCTTGTATGCAGAATTAAATAATACTCTAGAAAAATCAGCAGTTTGAAAGAAGTGACATTAAGCTTTTTGAAAAAGATAGAATACACACCTAAGGAGATAGTCGAAGAGGACAGCTTCCTTTCAGAACAACAACCGGAGTCAGACCATAAGACAAAACTATAGGCATGATGTAATGATGGCCAAATTAAGAACAACACTTTGCCCATTGGTTTGCTCGTCACTTGATTGAATTAATTACAGGATAGAATAATTTCGTGCTTATCAGATCCATCTGACTAGTCAGAAACAAAATGACAAATATTTGACGAAAAGCCCAGAAGACAGGTTGGAGGAATACGTGGAAGATGCATAAAATTTTCATCTCAGAAGAGAAGATTTTGGAAAAATGATATAAAGAATACCTACCACTGAGCCACAGTGACCCAGATAGATCAAATGTTGAAATGGATTATTTCGTATGTTTGCAGGGTTGGTCTTATTTCAGTTTTAATATATATATATATATATATATATATATATATATATATATATATATATATATATATATATATATATATATATATATATATATATATATATATATATATATATATATATATATATATATATATATATATATATATATATTGTTAAGTAGAGGATTTTTCAAAAGTAACAAGGAAAAGAGTGAAGCCAACAAGCTTTGTAAATTTTAACAACAATAATTTATTTTCCTGAAAAAAGGTGAAAACGTGAAAAAGGAGTTACAGTTTGTGAATATAATCTAAAGATTATTCATTGAATCTAAAAATATAATGTTTTATCACTAAAAAGTTCTAACTGAATGCAGGTTCTAATATCGATGAAGTTCCAATATGGAAGCCGATGACTTCTTCTATAAGGTGTTGTTGTGTCAACAGTTCCTTGTTGAATTTTATGAATCAGGAATAATATATTCCGGCTTCACTATTCCAATTCAAATATTTTCCACTGAATGTCTCTGTCCAATAATTTTATGAAGAAGAATATTTTCCATAATAATATATTATTTTTAATAAAAAAAACTCAATTCAAACGGCAACAGTAAGATTACCTTGAGCCCGATGGTATATATATTTACGACTAATTCCGCAGGAAATTGTCGGTTTTAACCCACTAGTTTAGATCACATTATGGCTCACGTGACGGTGCTACGTGATCAATAAATTGAAGAGCGCAGTAAACAAAATGTCGTTTTCCACGTAGCCTAGAATAGCCCTATGTAAGAAATAGATTCTTGCGCTGGAAATGAATAATTAAAAGACTATTTACAACATGGCGCACAAGTGGAACATGGCTTTGTAATAAATAATCATTTTAATTTAGTGTTTAAAACCTTTCAACCAAGGTGAGCTAAAAATAGTAATGAAGTAATACTTTTGTGTTGTAATCGGATAAAAACAGAAGACTGAATTCTCCGAAAAAATATAAATCCCATGAAAATTATCATTACAATAAAATGTAATGAAACGAAAGTTAAGAAATTTTTTTAAAACTAATACACAAGTAAATAAATTACATATACGTTATATATATATATATATATATATATATATATATATATATATATATATATATATATATATATATATACATACAGAGAGAGAGAGAGAGAGAGAGAGAGAGAGAGAGAGAGAGAGAGAGAGAGAGAGAGAGAGAGAGAGAGAGAGAGATCCGACTCCTGTGAGGAGGAAATATTGTTGACAGTTTACATAGCCAGTATCATAACAGTACTTCACATACATGTATGCACATTTATTCCTTATGGTCACAAATTATATTTTGATTGACCCGGAAATGGAACCCCAGTAGGTTTTCCTCACTTGTTATGTGTATGTTGCGCAAGAGATGACAAATATTATTGTGTATAATGGAATGCATTGATACGGTGATCCTGGTGTGATTGGTCGTTGGTAATAGTTCACGTGTGATGAATGTATGTAGGTGATATATAGTAAAATTAGTGGTATTCTGATCCCAGCTTTGCTATCTTGTATCTAAGCAGATGCAGAGTTATCCTAACTGATAGCTCATTTTCCGAATTTTTAAAACTGTTGTTTGGACGATATTTATGAGTGTTTTCATTGTCACGTGTAAAGCTTCACTCAAACTCTTCAACCATAATCCACAAAAAAGTGATAAAATGAATTTCAGTTAAATCTATCATATCACTCACTGTCGTGGGAAGGTGATATTGTATGTATATTAACGTTCGGTGATTTATAATGGAGAGCCACAAAGGTTGCTGTAATATGACTTACATAATATATAAAGAACACATGAAGTATAGAATATTGTAGCATTTGTTCAAACTATTTTGAAAGCAATCACAACACAGGTATTACGCTGTATTAAAGGAAATAGGATGTTGGTTTGCTTGTCAACATTACTGCTTGGAGTTTGCTACTAATACATCAGACAAAATGAAATTCTTGTATAGAATAATCTAGCAGTTTTATTACGGACTTGTATTACGCATTTAATAATGATGCCAACATGTTGTCAATATTCGTGAGTAGCATACGAGTTGAAATTAATGCGGTACAAATGAGCGTGACAATACCTGGAAAGCACTAGCTGCCGTCTGTTTACTGCTGAAATATTAAGCAATATAATGAATATATTTATATACACGGTCATTCCGAGGAAACAAAATGATAAAATCACATATTATTTGCTTTGTGTTGATGGTGACAGTATTTGCCAAGTATTACCTCTGTAGGTAAGGTGTTTGTTTACATCTGTCGCTCTGCCTGTCCTTATATGTATGCATGCTTTCTTAAAAGATAGCATGAACATGTAATACTTGTCATCCACCTATCAAATTAGCTGACGTTTAATTTTTTAAATACTTACTTATATAGTTACTACGCATATAATAATGATACCAGGATATTGGTTTCTTTTCAACAATCACGCGTAGTATATGAATCCAGTCTAATCCGGTTCAAAAGGGAGTGACGATACCTGGAAACATATAAATTGCTGTCCGTTTAATACTAAAACATTGGGGAAGAAACTTAGCATCTTGATATACACCGTCATTCCAAAACAAAAATGATTTCAAAACACATTATTTGCTTTATGTTGGTGGCGACCATGCTGGGTAAGTACGAAATATTTAATTACGGTATTTACGTTATTTCTATATGTCTCTGGGTATGTATGTATTCCTACAAGATATCAATATGAAATAGTGTCATCTAGTTTCCAGATTAGCTAATTATTTTGATTTGACTCATTTTCTGTACATTTTATTACCAGTCGTCTTTGCTAATCTTATTTGAATATGGAATTGTCCATGGTGTTAATTAATACAATATTTTGAGGTATATTAGTGCTTAAGTCTAAAAAAGCACAAGTTTTCATAAAAAGTATACCCTTCAATCCCAACTCATCCTTTTCTCAGATGAAAAGTTATACTTATTGTTTGTCTCCCTTTCCTTTGTTTATTCATCTTTCTTTTCTTCTTTCTTTATTTCTGACTTAGATATGTACTTATCCTGTAAAGGAAGCATGTCATAAAAATCTAAATCAAATTGTACCGACTATAATGGAGTCTTACAGAATATATTGGTTGTCATTACAAGATCATTGCAAACATTTTATGCGGAATTTTCAATTTCAGGTTGCAATTTTGAAACGGTAATTACAAAATCACATTTCCTAGGATTTAAATAATAATACACTTTATATTTGCCAATATTATCAAAGGTACCAGTTCATGGTCTCTATCGATTTTTTATTTCTATTTGATAAAGTTTCCATAATTTCAGGTTTTCATCATGTTGATGCTGCCCCAGGTACCTCCAATCTCTCTCTCTCTCTCTCTCTCTCTCTCTCTCTCTCTCTCTCTCTCTCTCTCTCTCTCTCTCTCTCTCTCTCTCTCTCTCTGTATGCAGTATGCAACTTCAATGCATTCGAGATCATATTATTGTAATATAATTCAAATTGCACTTATTGGCACAATTCCCAATTAGTACGTCTGTTTGATTTTGTCTTTTATCAATTTCAACCTTTAACAACATCAAAAATAAACGAAGGTGTATTTATATTACGTTCACATTGTCTTGGATATTGATGGCAATTCTAGCCCTAAACTGTTTTGTTTACTTTTTCTTCTCTTAGATTTGCATTTTTTAAAGATCAAAATTATCACCGAAAGGCTAACAGATTCTAAGCTTTTATCAAATGCAGCTCTTGCCTCTATATGTATAACCTTAATTTACCAATTGTACCAATATGAAGAACCGCTCCGGTGGCCTAGTGGTTAGAGCGTCCGTCTCGGATGCGGGAGGTCATGTGTTCGATCCCCGATACCAAAGACTTACAAAAATGATCAAGAGGTTAGTGTTAGGACTGGTCGGCCTGGTGTCAGGATAATGTGACCGGGTGGGACATCATGCTACATGTCTGCGGCATGATGCCCCAGTGCTAGACATCAATATAAACTGCCACACTGCAGACATCGTAGCGATATGATCGAAAATTGTTTAAAAGCTACGTTAAAAAAATCATAAACCAATATGAAGAGACCCAGTATATGTGCTGCATTAGATATAGATATATGATCATTTAATCACAGATACATGTATATGATCACTTAATCACAGATGTAGGTATGTGCTCACTTAATCACAGATGTAGGTATATGCTCACTTAATCACAGATGTAGGTGATGTAGGTATATACTCACTTAATCACAGATGTAGGTATGTGCTCACTTAATCACAGATGTAGGTATATGCTCACTTAATCACAGATGTAGGTGATGTAGGTATATACTCACTTAATCACAGATGTAGGTATGTGCTCACTTAATCACAGATGTAGGTATATACTCACTTAATCACAGATGTAGGTATATGCTCACTTAATCACAGATGTAGGTATATGCTCACTTAATCACAGATGTAGGTATATGCTCACTTTATCACAGATGTAGGTGATGTAGGTATATGCTCACTTAATCACAGATGTAGGTATATGCTCACTTAATCACAGATGTAGGTGATGTAGGTATAACTCACTTAATCACAGATGTAGGTATATGCTCACTTAATCACAGATGTACGTATATGCTCACTTAATCACATATGTAGGTATATGCTCACTTAATCACAGATGCATATATATGATCACTAAATCCCATATTCAAGTATATGACCACGAAGCACTTTGCAGCTCTGGTCTGAACTTGGAACTTTAAACTCGTCAGGCAGGAAAATAAACGTAATCACATTTAGGCACTAAATTATTGCATGATGGTCCGGTGAATGACGCTTTATCGTTAAAATTTTTTGTTTCAATACTATAATCAATAGACAAGGTACATAATGTAATCTAGCGTCTATAAGCAAGCTAATTATGGTCATAAAATGGGAAGAAATATTTTGAATTGGTGATATTTTGTCTGCAGAAAAATAACACCGTCCTTTCACTATACAGGTTTAAAGGGATGAAACCTGATCTGATAAATGAAATGGAAATTCCAAAACAAGAATCCATAATGAAAGCACATGCATGGAGGTGCAATCAGGCACCCGACAGATATTAGAAGTATTAAACATCGGCCACTGGTGTTTGCACGAAATCTAGATATCCAATTATCTCTCCACGGAAATCTGTGCAAGAGCGTTACTGACGGGTGTCGGTATAATAATCAGCTAATGCTTAGAAAACTGCTGAACCTACACTAACCTGAACTTACCCACAAGTTATAACGGACAGTCGTCGTTTCTCATTTGCCGAAGTCGTTAACGGTACGATATCTCAGATGAAGACTACACTTATTCAGTAGCCTTTAATCTCAGGTTTCGGCTGGTAAATATTTCAATGATCTGAATCAGTATATAACGAATTCATCCCAAACCCCATTAATCACTATAACTACTCGATGCAGAACGACGGAATGTTCAAACCCTTTAGAATGTATGTCTTCAGTAGATACGAGACTCGTGTTGCTACGAGTGAATTGGCAATACGCAGATTGTGTTGATAACAGACTGACTTATGAGAGGCTCATGCATCGCTGAATCTACTCCGACGCATTTTAACGAAATCGTCCCTAACCTTAGATACTGCTTCCTTAATTCCTGACATAAATCTCTTAAATCTTAAATGAAGGAACCATGACTCCATGACTCAACCATTTCAGAAAAAGTCAACAATGAGAGAGAGAGAGAGAGAGAGAGAGAGAGAGAGAGAGAGAGAGAGAGAGAGAGAGAGAGAGAGAGAGAGAGAGAGAGAGAGAGAGAGAGAGAGAGAGAGAGAGAGAGAGAGAGAGAGAGAGAGAGTTTTATATTTAGACTCGATGCATTTCTCATGAGAATGTAAATTTTCGTTGGTGGTCAACCCATTTGGAAAAATGAGATTGAAAATTATCGACAGGACCAGGACCTCTTAGAGTATGAGAGTATAAGCGTCAAATTAACATAAAGTTTATAAAGAATACCTTCCCTTTTCTAAATATGTCGAGATTTTTTGACGACAAAATAGGAAAAGTCTTTCGTAAAAATGATAATCATTGTAGGAGTCTTATGAGCTGAAGTAAAAGGAGAAAATAGTTGGAAGAGTTATTTTGTTTTTAAAGCGTAATATATACCTCAAGCAAGAAATCTGAAAGGTGATTTGCACAATATTGATGAAATGTCTGAGCATTGGGAATATGTACGAGTCTTAAGAAGCAATCAAATAATGAGAGCAATTGTTCATCTCAACTGAATGATAAATTACTGCAGTAATGAGTGAGAACATGAAAGCGGTAAACAACGTAAAAGACAATAACTGCTAAATTCATAGTGAGATAAAGTCCTTGACTTGAACAAAGGAGGTAGCTTTGTCTTTTCCAGTGTCATTTGCACTTATTCTAAAAGAAACCAATATTTTTTCATGACATAACATACTTTCAATCATTCATTAATCATTGAAAACTATTCTAAATTTCTATAAACGCGAATAGATGACTTAGTTATAAAGCACGATTAGATTTCGTTTTAATACTCTATGAGTAGACGCTGAAATTTGTTCGTAGATCTAGCGATGAGTTAGTGATGTTCCATATCAGGCCTACACACAAAGCTTCAAAAAATATCCCTTATATATAGACAAACTGCTTCAATTATCACCCTCTGAATCGATTGAGTCCGCTTGGAACACCGTTGCTGCGCCTGCTATTTCATGGAAAGAAACACCGTAAACAAGCTAAAACTTAACACTGAACGGTGAAATCTCTGAAGCGAGATTTTAATGGGTGATGTATTTTGCAATATAAATGAATGGACAGATGAAACAGTTGTCAAATGTCATGATGACATTTACAACTATTTAATGTCATTAAAAGCAGTAGATGGAAAAGAAATGAAGAAATTTAAGGCTTACAAAGTTACAACTACTTTCAGAGTGGAAATGTGTATATAATTTTACACAATGCATCGAACTTGGAGAATAAAATTATCAGGAAAGGAGATATACGCTCCTCACAGTCTGTAAACAAAGTAAATGAAGCTTGCGTTATTTGTACCATGGATGGGGTAGTTGAGAATGGGCGGTGTACATATATGGCGAGCAAAGGAGAATTATGCAGTCATGATGTGCTTTATTGTGGAAAATTGAATCTGCTGTGAGAACTAATCTTACTGTTGTCAGTTGTACTGATAAGACAGCTAAGTGGAACAGAGGTACGAAGTGAAATGTTGAACTAACACCCCTTGCAAATATTAAATCTCAACAACCCCATAATTGGTAACATCCAATGGGGCTGATAAAGATGATAAAGAAGTGATGCCTTTGCCAGAAACACACCATTTTATTTGACATAGGTAGAGATTAAATCGGCTGTTAAAAATTCACCACTCTCTAAGATCTACTTTATTTCAAATTAAAGGAATAACAATGAACACAAGTTTCACAAGTGTACCTTCGAACTGTACAAATGATACTTCCCTTCACGATCATAGTCATGAAAGTGTGAGAAATGTTTAACATTTTTTTCTTCATAATTTATTGGCAGCAAACAGAGGCCTATCTGGCTGCATAATGCGAAATTTGTAAGGAACTAAACACGCATTCACTGGGTTTGTTTGTGTATCACATAAGAATTCTTTCCATAAATTTATTTTTCTTGAGTTGTTTGTACATCCATTGACTGCATAGAAGTTCCACTACCTGCTTTATATTTTGTTTTTATATCCATCATAAAAACATCAATACTTGTACAATCGAGAAACGCTAAATGTAAACACAAAACAATTGATACTGCGACATACGAATTCGCAGGAGTATAATAGCACATGTACCACGTGACAGAAAATGGCAGCGCCCATGAAAATTGGCTCAGTGCCAGACAAACATGTGACTGTAAGTAAGCCTTGTCAAAATTATAGCCAATCATCAGTTTTGCACCCTAAACAAACTTTGCCCTAAACTCTAGCAAAATATTATTATTATTATTATTATTATTATTATTATTATTATTATTATTATTATTATTATTATTATTATTATAGTTCTTGTCAATTGTCTCGAAACACAATTATCTAAATATTTTTCCTTCAAAACTTTTTGCATAACTCTACCAGGAAATAATTTCTGGCGACGATCTCTGGCCTCGCTTAGTCTGCGACCTTCGTTCGCAACTCAGAATTAGGTCAAAACATACTGCCTGGTTGTTATGTGATAGACAAAAGAATCCGCTTGTCTATTATTTCTGCACAGCTCCGTAGTATCATTTCTCTTACAATAAATTGTCCCTAGTGATTCTTATATGTTTAAGCCTATATTTTTTGCAGATTTTGTGTTAAGCGTTTGTTTTGTATGTTATTTTTGAATTTTTTCTCTGACGAAAAGATTGCTTAGCCCGATATGTAAACCTATGCAAATATAAACACATTTTCAATTATCATATAGTAGCATGTTCTATTTTATGTGCCTTCGTATACATTCTTTACATGATCATTTACATTCACAAATGTTAACGGTGAAGAAAAGAAGCGATCCTTGAATGTCGAAATATAATGTAGAACACCACCGTAATGAATGTAATACGTATTGTACTCGAATGCATATTTTGTTCATTTTTTGTTAAGTCCATGTTGTACGTGACTGTGCAATGAAAGTGCGTATGAGAGTGTAGGCCAGAGTGTATGTAACTATGAAAATTTGTATTATGTTTAAATTGTTTATCTTATCTTCGTTAATATCTCCTTTAACGAAGAAGATGGTCGTAATCATAACCATTTTAATTAACATAATTGTTAAAATATACGATAATCACACCAAATTAAAATTGCATACAAAATGTTATTGATCACTCTGCAACACT